GCCAATTATTCACTGCAAAAAAAAAAAAAAAAACACTGATTCATGCATCATGACACAAAAACTGATAAGACTATTTATTTAAAATTATCATGAAAAACATTAATAAAAAAATAAATCACAATCAGTGTTGTGTTACTTTTATTGATTATTACAGTTTTTTAATAGTTTGATTTAGACATATTTTTAAAAATATTTTCTACTTTCATTTTAATTTGTAATTTTGTTTTGCTTTTGTCATTTTTAAATATGCCTATGTAATTTTTAGTTTTACATTTTAGTTGCATTGTCATTGTCATTGACACATTATATATATATATATAATATATATAATATATAATATATATGTAGTTGCATTTAGTAAGTACAAGCAAGCAGTTTTTTCTATGCAGTCCATGACCCTGTCAGAACAGATGTGCGACCCCTTTTGAGTTCACGACCCACCACTCAACTATAGTTTTCTAAAGTAACTCTGTTATCATGTCAACATGTCAATAGTCATTTGACTACAGAGAAGTCAGTTATTTCAGATAGTTTAAATTAACATTTTATATCCTCTGGCTCTCTATTTGAAGCTGTCACAAAATAGTTCTACGATAAATTATCTTATTGTACCTTCAACTGACATTCCATGTAAATTAAGTCCACAAAAATGTGATTTTAACCAGCTCTGTCTCTGAGGTCCATAAAGCTTTGAGTTTTTTGGACCCATATAAGCCTGCAGGGCCTGATAAGATGGAACCGTTTTATTTAAAGTTTGCATCTGATTTTATTGCTGAACCATTGACTTATTTATTTAATCTTTCTATTTCCCATTGTGAAATCCCTAAGATTTGGAAATCTGCTTTTGTTTCTCCTCTTTTTAAAGGGGGGACCCTTTGCATTTGAACAATTATAGACCAATATCTAAACTATGTGTTTTATCCAAGCTTTTGGAGAAATTATTAAATGAACAATTAAAATCTTTTCTGGAAATAAATAATATTCTTTCTCCTTTTCAATCTGGATTTAGAAAGCAGCATATTACTGTCACTGCTGCTTTGAAAGTGTTTAGTAACATTATTGATGCCTTAGATTGCAAAAAAAATTGTTCAGCTCTTTTTCTTGACTTATCAAAGGCTTTTGACACAGTTGATCATGGCATACTCCTAAATAGACTCTCCATTGTTGGTCTCTCTGAAAATGCCATTAAATGATTTTATCCTTTGGTGAATTGTTGTTGTGATTTTTTATTTGTGTTTTGTATTATGATGTAAACTTGTATATACTATGTTATTTGTTGCTGCTTTCTTGGTCAGGTCTCTCTTTTGCTATTTACTGCTGTGCTCCATCAGCTTCACAAGCACTTCATTATTTACAGTCAGCATTTGATATTGTTCAGTTCCGTTTATGTCAGCTTAAGCTGGTTTTAAACACAGATAAAACTAGTTTAATGATTCATCACATATGTCAAGCCTCTGTTGCTTTACTCTAATCCTGGACAGCCTGGGCAGAGTGGGAACGCTGGCTACTCTGGGATTGTGTTATATTATAGAACACTACAGCTGAGCCACAGGGACTAAACCTAACAGCTGCTCCAACATGCAACAAAGTACAAGGTTAAAATTTGTAGATAGAAAATTAATATAGTAAGAATCAATATAATAATATTCATCAATATAATAATATTCATTAAAATTCATTTAATTTGAACAATATATTTTTTAACTAAAAAAAATATATAACAAAAACTTTTCCTGAAATTTTCTAGCACATTTTTTACTCACTTATTATAGCTTCAGACCCTCTAAAGTAACCCAAGGCTTCTTTTTGTCCTGCTGAAGTGGGTTCAAACCTCAACCACATCTTCAACTGCTGCACCACACCACATTCTCTAATTCTTCTTTCTTTTATCACTTTCTAAAAATATCTAAATGGCCTTCAGTCTACATATTTTCTTTGCTTTTAACAGTGCTAAAGATCTTGGCACTGAATTCCCAAAGAGATTTTTTAAAAATGCAATAAATGAATAAAACAACAAAGCCCCTTTTCTCAGCAGTGCAGATCTACTCAACTCTGTGTGTATTTCAGTATTCTAAATACCCTGCAGCAAGCATTGGATTGTAATTAGAAGTTATATAAACTGGGTGTTGATGCTGAATGGGAGAGGCAGTATGATAGCCCCTGGTGAAACATTGAGGTGTCCGTCCCCACCCAGACATTATAAATGTGTGTTGATGTAAACTGCGGAGTTCAAATTCATTTGAAAATTGGTAGAAAGAAATAGCTGAGCATGCCCACTCATCCAAGGGAAACTGACTAGATGAGTGTATGCTACAATTGTAGATACAGACAGAAAGAGAGAGAGAATGAGACAGTTTGAAGGTGGTGTGTGAAATATATTAGTAAGCAAATATTTTAATTATCATTGTTTAACTTTCATTAGCACATCTTTTAGAGACAAGTTTTGCTTTTTCCATGTCTAGAAAAAGTTAAACTAGACTAAGTACTGAACAGACACAATTATGGTAAGATATGGAGATGATAGGATAGGATGCATGTGCTAATTCATCCAAAAAATAGTTACTGGAAAAGAATATAAATGGAAAGAAACAGAGATAAAGAAGTGAAAAGTGGCAGGAAGTTTGACAGCCGAACAGAAAGAGGACATTCATTTGTGGCTTTCTCAGTGAAGACACATACATTCTCTGCTTTCATTCTGGAATTCCTCAGGCCTGTTTGGGCCTTTCACTGGAGATTTTATAGGAAACCAAACAATAGCAGAGCTCAATAAATAACTTCCTAATTACAGTGGGTGGGGTCAACACAGTCTAATAGCATTCAAGTGTATATCAGTAAGTACTGGCAAGGAGAGCTGGGAGAATATGTTGAAAATATCTGGCTCAGATCACAGCAGCTGAAAATCCAGCCCAAATCTGTGAGCATGAGTGAAAAGTGTCATTCAAGCACAAACAATTCTATACAATAAGAAACTACTTAAACAGCAGCAATGGAAAGGAATAGAAGATGAAATAGAGATTAAAAAGCATGTTGACAACAAATGCAATATTGGTCATGAAGTCATAAAAAGCTAACTTTAAAAAATACAGGAAAAAAAAAAAAAATGCCCTTAAAAGTTCAACAAGTCTGGTTTTGTTTAGTCTAGAATTATGCAAATAGTGTCTTCATCTCATCTCAAAAATACTGAGTGAACCTTTAAACAAGAACATTTCTTTAATGAGTTATGACACTGATTACCTTTTTAAAGTAATAATTTAGCATCATCAGAGGCAAATTCTCAATAATTTAATCTGAAAGTAATTAAATACATCCAGTCACTAATGAGCAACAGAATCATTTCACAGAAAAATTCATTCAATTTTGTTATTGAAAGCTCTGAAGCTCTAAATAAATGCAAAATCTTTTCATGATGACAATATTCATTTTCTGCATGAATAAGTGTGAGGGAATCTGAGAAAATCCTCATACATTAGAGGGAGAAGGAGAGTATGGTGTTCTGTACATGCATGCGCACAGGCAGTTCAGCCCTTTACCTCTGTTTGTTTGACCCCCGTGACCTGTTGGAGTGGTGAGAATAACCAGAGTGGATGGAATCTGTGTCCATTGTAATACTGTCCGTGCTGTGACTGGTTTAACACAGCGGAGGGAGGAATGCGGCGACAGTTAAAGTGCTGACGATGATCAGGACATACATGAAGCTGCGCAAGATGACAGGATCATTTCTAGGGGCTTTCTGTTATCAAACATTAACCTAAAAAAGAGAAAAAGAAAGATTTTTTTAAAACAAACTCCTTATACCACAATAATTTAATTTAATACAGAATTTAATTCAGGGCACAAACACAGTCTTTTAAAAAGGTTAGGGCTATCTCATGTCAGTTAGTATAAAATAACTGCAATACAGTGCAGCAGTCCAAAAAAAAGGCATGTGTTCAATTCCCAGGGAAAGCAAGAACTGATAACATGTGTACCTTGAATGCAATGTAAGTCGCTTTGGATAAAGCATCTACCAAATGCATAAATGTAAATGTATACAGATTTTCTCCAATACACTGACAACAAATGCAGGAAAAGCATCAAGAGTTCACTGCAGCAATGTCTAAAGCACTGTAAAGCACCTCTGCTGGCAAGATTTCCACTTCTGTTTCAGGTTTTTATAAACTATTTCGTACTATTTGTCAGTAAGTTGTTGTTATTTTAGCATGTGTGTTTGCCTCAGTGTTATTTTTTTAGGATTACTGATGAACTAATGTACTTTGATTTGTATTAGTTATCTATTTTAGTTTTAGTTACAGTTGTAGTCATGTTGTCATTTTATTATCTTTTATTTTCTTAAATGTGTGTATATATATAGTATTTATAGAGTTTTAGCTTTTAGTTTTAATTACTTTTTCTTATTTGTAAGTCGCTTTGGATAAAAGCGTCTGCTAAATAAAGTAAAGTAAAAGTAAAGATCAATCTGCATCTGTTTCAGTACTACTCAACTTTAGCCAGTACAGAAGCACCGGCACTTCTGACATGTTGCTGGCACTGAGTCAAATCGTCAGTGTCTGGGTGATTAGAAATGACACTATAAAGCACACTACCCAGGAGGTCATTTAAAACCGGTAAACTTCTGGAAAGTTCAAGGATCCAGTAAGGGAATGCATTAGTATTATGTAATAAGTAATAAGTTCAAAACAGCGTAAATGCAGAGAAAACACGGACGATTTCATCAGAGATGGTGACTAGCGTCCAGATGGCAGTAAATTATTCTTTTCAGCGTGTATTTGGCTTAAAAGCACGAGTGTTTTATAATGAATGCTGGCTGAAGGTGTTTTAGATTATGCGCTGGACAGTGGTTTAGTGATTCTGCATGGATCCGTATAGTAGCATGTACAGTCAGGTTAAAGGGATAGTTCACCCAAAAATGAAAACTAGCCCATTATTTACTCACCCTTAAGCCATCCTAGGTGTATATGACTTACTTCTTTCAGATGAATCCATGGGCGGTGCTAGGGAGGGGCTAGCAGGTGCTCCAGCACCCCCAAGAAAGATCAAAGCACCCCCATAGCACCCCCATACATAAAAAAATGAAATAAAATAAAAACATTTGACTCATTATACACATGCATAACTCGTGCAATGCAATGTGACGTGATTTGCAGTTGCACATTTGTAATGTCATAGCATTTTATTTTAAAAATGGATCGGTTCCTTGTGCCAAGTAGGCCTGCCCCTGACAAAAGATTTTTCTAGTCAACTAGTCGCACGTTTATATTAAATTGATTATTATAATAACCTACTAAACCATCCTTTAATATGCATTTAGACGTATAGCCTAGTCCGTGCTCAAGCGCGCGCATAAAGCTTGCCACAAAGCAAAAGTAATGATTATGAATGCGTCGGAGAAAAAGAAGACATTTTTATTATTTATTACAAAATTACTGCTTTCTCAGTCATTTGAATGCAGGTTTTTTTATTTGAATTGGTTCGTTTAATAGTAGACATTTCAAGCTTTCTATAGATTTATTTCTTATGTCTGTTAGCCGGTTCATTGTTGTGATGCGCTCCATTCACGGAGACTGCATAAGACAGCAGAAAGCACATCCACAAATGACGGTGTAGCCTATTATAAGTTCTTTCCGCAGGGGGAAAAAAAAGCAAGGGATTGCGCGGGCGCCTCCATGTCATACATTAAGCGCGATAATACTCCCGCACTCCTCATAAACACTTGAAATGTACCTATATATACACACACACACACACACACATATAATATTATATATATATATATATATATTTATATATATAAATAATAACTTGTTTTGGTCATATTTACTATTAAAGGGTTAGTTCACCCCAAAATGAAAATTATGTCATTAATTACTCACCCTCATGTCATACCACACCCATAAGACCTCTGTTCATCTTCAGAACACAAATTAAGTATTTTTGATGGAATCTGAGAGCTCTCTGACCCTCCATAGACAGCAACGCAACTGAAATGTTCCCAGACAGAAACGTAGCAAGGACATCGGTAAAACAGTCCATGTGACATCAGTGGCTCAACTTCAATTTTGCGAAGCTACGAGAATACTTTTTGTGTGCAAAGAAAACAAAAATGACGACTTTATTCAACAATTCTTCTCCCCCGAGTTACTGTCT